TCTGATCATCACACAACTTGGGGAAGTCCACTGGGGTGGCAAGGGTTATTCTGCCATCCTGCAGAGGCCTCCACTCCCCCTCTCCTTGCCTCAGTCCCTGCACATACCCTGGCATGAAACGCCTTAGCAGGGAATGCCAAGAGTGGACCAGAGGTGAGTGGGGCCAGGGCTCTGCTCAGGTGGTCTGGGATGGAAACGTGAAGCCCACTGCCCAGGCTGCAAAGGGGAGAAGGGAAGAGCAACAGCTTCCCCTTGCACAGCCCGTGTCTGCTCCTTTCAGGTGACTTACCAACCCTCGAAGCTTCAGTTCCATCCAGGCTTCTCAGGCCCCCCTGAGTGACAGCCATCTCTTCAGTGAGCTCTGACCGGTGTGAGAAGCCGTGAGCCATAGACGATGGCTCTTCAGGCCTCCCAGCAGCTCTCTCTCCCTGCCTTCAGAAGCTAGAGGCTGATGAGAGCTCTACTCCCACTCCCACCCATCCAACTTCTGCACCTCTTCCTCTCCTTCAAGCACAACCCAGCACCCAGCACCTCAGTCTCACTAGGAAAGCCCTTTCTAGTTGATGCTCCCACTTCAACAGCTACTAAAACTGCCCTTGACATTGGAGATTCTGCATGTTACTCTGTCCCCAGTTGGTTCACATGAATAGGTCTCCTCTTTCCAGCTAAATAGGAATTCTAGCCAGAATCACAGGCTAAGAAGGTGGAGGGAGCAGGGATTGCACTGTGAGATTGTGGAGGGTGCTTTTCTTTCCCTTTGTCTTTCATTGAGGAAATAAACTGAAGAAAAAGAACAAAGCAGTGATCCTTAACTTTGGTACACAAGATTCATGGGAAGAAAGTTTAAAAAAAAAAAAAAAAAAATCTTAGAAGCTCAGGTCTCCCCTAGACCAAATAGTTCAAACCTCTAGAGGAAAAAAATCCAGAACCAGGACATTAACCCCCACCAAGAGTGCAAGCACTCATCAGAGACAGAGAGGAAAAGTGAAACATCACCCACTGGGGGATTGTCATGCTGCGACCCCTTCTCCATTTCTCTCTAGAGATTTTGGGCATGCACATACATGCACCTGGCAAGATTTGCCAGGTCCGGGACATGAACTGTGCAGCCAGCCACATGGGATCTGGCACCTTAACCTCCACGCCACCTGCTAGCCCCAAGAATCAGGACTTCTTAGTCTCCTGTTGATTCCAAGACATAGCCAAGGTTGAGAACCACAGCTTCAGACCTCTGGAGCCTGCCACAAACACTAGGTCATTTGGGCCTCCTGTCTGCCCTGAAAAGGTCATGGGACAGGTATTACCCTGTTGTAAGAAGGGAAAGTTGAGGTTGAGAGGTACTGCCATGTCATTGCTGCCAGCAGGATGGGGCCTTGGGGCCAGGGTCTGCACCCTGGGTTTTCACTACTGCCTTAAGTTGTTGTGGTCACTGAGGGCCACAGAGGCAGCACGGTTCCCAGACCTCCTGCCCTGACACAGTCACTGTGGAGTTGGGTGGGCCAGGCTCAGGGAGCTGGGCATGGAAGGCTTAGTACACACAGAAGAATGTTTGGCCTTGCACCGTCCCCCAGCTGCATGCACTCTTCTGAGGTTGGAGGACTTTCCTCTGGGGCCCAGCCAGTTGGCTTTGTGGGTGCCCGGAAGGCAGGCTGGTGGGACCACACTACGGAATGGTTGAATCAAGGAGACAGCCTCAGGCCACAGCCCCCTCCTTCCTGGGGCCCCTATTAGTCATGAATGCCTTGGCTTCAGCTTATCTAGGCTGATAACCAACTGGTTTATTCCTGGTGACCTTGGGGGTCACTAGGATTCTGGACTTTCAGCTTTAAGGCCTGAGTTGGTTTCTTACCTTCTCCACCCTGCCCCCAGGTTGTGGGTGACACGTTCTTCCTCACAGGATCTTGTGCCTTGCCTCCTCCTACTTTAGTCATGGTGGCAGCTGCTTGAGGGCCTATGAGTCTGTGGCATCACTGGCCTGGTCACAGCTTTGTTAGACCTCTGTAGCCATGTCTGGACGTGGCTGAACTCATGTGGCCTCCTGCAAGCTATTTACCCAATAGCTACTGAACACCTACTACACACACAGGATGTGCAAAGGTCCCTGCAATGAGGAACAACTACCATTACCCAGGAGACATACAGTACTATATGTTGGGGGGGGGAATTCCTGGAAGGGACATGGGATTGTGCGGGTGTCTATGGCACATACTAAAGGAAAAATCTTTTTGTTGGGGGGGGGGCAGAGTGAGTTTATGTGGTGAATGCTGACAGCAAACAAGATGGGAAAGGTGCTGTGACCAGAGAGCCTGGGACACTTTGGGACTAGATAGAGTCTCACACAGGGAAAGGTACAGGGTTCTGGGGTACTGGGCATGTCTTCAGCCATTCAGTACCATACAGATGATCTCTTCAGAGTTGATACAACCATTGCTGTCCTCATGCCCTGCTGCCAGCATCTCTACTTCTTCCTCTGTCATCTTCTCCCCCAATGTGACAAGGACATGCCAGATTTCAGCACCCATGACGGTGCTGCTCCCTTCCTTATCAAACACCCTAAGGCCTTCAATGTAATCCTCATAGGTGCCCTGGTCCTTCTCTTCGCCACTGTCTGCAGCATAGGCAGGAAGTGCTCAAAATCTAGCACCTTCACATTCGTCTCGTCACTCTTGGGGTTCCCCAGGACCTTGAGCACTTCGGCTTTGGTGGGGTTTTGGCCCAGGGCCCTCATCACGTCCCCACACTGGCTGTACAGGATCTTGCCATCCCCTGTCCAAACAGCTGGAAGGCCTCCTTGAACTCTGCGGTCTGGTCTTCGGTGAAGTCACACATCTTGAGTGCTCAGCTCTGTGGGACCTTTCCTGCAGTAATGCTAGAGGAAAAATCTTCTGCAAAGGTGCAGCCGTGCAAGAGCCAAGCATGTTCCAGGAAGGCCTAGCAGTCCAGGAATGATGAGCATGGACAGGGCTGGTGGAGGGAGGGGGCCAGGGGAGGCTGCAAGGCAGAGAGGGCTGGCCTGCCACATGAAGGTAGATACTCAGCAGCAGCCCCAGCCAGTGAGGATTGCCCACTGCCCGAGGATTAGGCTCCTTCTCAAACTAGACGGGAGACTTCTACCCCCAGCCCTAGCTAATCTAGGGTAGTGGGTCCCCTAGGGCAGAGAAGTTCACAGGGACAGCCAAGTCTTGGTTGACGTCCTTGTGTTATAGGAGTTGTTCTTACCCACATCTGGGCAGCTTCCAACGTCCAGCTACACTCCAGGCCAATTCATCAGAATGGGGTGAGGTAAGACCTATATATATAGGGGTATTTTCAAAGCTCCCAAGGGGATCCCAATGTAGGACCAAGACTGAGAACCCTATGCTAGAGACCTAGGGATGGGACCCAGGAGGGCTGCTCACAGAGAGGCCCTATGGTGGGGAGAAGCACACACCTGCTAGACTCCTCTCCCACCCCATCTCCCTCCTTCCCCGCCCCATCTCCCTCCTCCCCCTCCACTTCTCCCTCCTCCCCCTCCACATTTCCCTCTTCCCCACCCCATCTCCCTCCTCCCCTACCCCATCTCCCTCCTGACCCATGTGCCACATAAGTGAGAGAACACGAAAGGGAAGGGGCAGGACTGACCGCATTTGGAGGTATTACTCTCCATGCCTGTTTGCAATGCAATGTGTGTCTTTGGGCTGAGGTAAAGACTGAAGGGGAGTCCTAGAGAGTAGAACTAGATGGGGCCTTGCGGGTCATATTTGGTCATATTAATTTCCCAGAGTCAGTCAGTATTTAACAGGGTACTCCAGATCTATGAACCCAAATTTGCAGTTGCTCCCTCCGGAGTACCGCAAGCCTTGCCCCAGTGGTATTCTGGGCAGACTAGCCACAGATGAGGTCACGTCGCCCTCTAGTGGCCAGGCCTGAGTACAGCTCCCTCTCTCCATGAAGTTCCCCCAATCCCCCTCTCCCCCTTCTCAATCAGGAACATATTTCAGAACAGATTATGTGCCACATAGGGTCTAGATGACCTGAAACAAATAGCTTACAGCTCTAACCCCGAGGACGTGCTGCCATGGTGAAACACACCTCTTGATCATCCCCCCAGTGACAAAAGGCCCAGCAAGGCATCTCCTGGGAAGTGTGGGGGAGGGGGCACTCGTTATGATCATGGGTGATGAGGTCAACCAGCTCATCACAGGGTGAGGAACCAGCTCCCCCAGGGACCCTCACAGGAACTTTGTCACTAAAGCTCAACCTACATGCCCTAATTCAGAGGAGTTGCAAAGATTAGCCAGGAGACCTCGGAAATAACCTCGCCTGACTCCCAGCAAGGGCAAACCAGCAGCATTAAAGGTCTTGGTTCTCCCCCCAAGCAAATAGGACACCCCAACCACCCACTCAGATGGCAGCAGATCATACTTCTCTGCTTTGCTGCCAGATTCAAAGCCAAATGAGCAATTACCCAGTGCATTTCTGTAGGGCTCTAACTTGCATTCCAGTGTTTTGCTTTTAAAGTCAGTATTGGCATTCTACTCTAATTAGATTGGTTCTTGGTCCTCATTTCTTTATAGTTCCCTATTTTAGTTGTCTCCTATAGGTCTCCTCAAAGCTCTTCTGGAATAAAGTAGGATATAAACAAATAAGGCTTCCCTTTGGACTTTAAGAGTCCCACACTTTTCACAACACGTAATAAGCTATGCACATTACTTTCAAATGCTCTTGACTCTGGTAAAGACAAAGCACACTGTCTACAAGATAGTGGATACAAAACACACTCAGAATTACATGAGAGACTTTTTAAGTTTCCCAGCTGCACCAAGGCAGCCAGCACAGGCCCTAAACAGGAGCAGTGTTGGAGAATTTCTGGCCTGAAACATTAAGGAAAAAAAAGGGTGGGGGGTCATTAGTTCTAATGATGAATGTCAAATTCCTTTACAAAGTATAATTTTCTAAGTAAAGTAAATCTCAACTTTATTCAGCTATGTGCTTCAAAAACAATGGGCATAAATCCCAAATTGCAAATCAAACCTATTTAAATTTATTAGGGCAAGTGACTTAGGACAAAACCCATCAGCAAAGCCTTCTATCAAGAATCTACTTTCGAGTTTGGCTTTTCTTAATCTGGTCATACCTGGAGTAAACGTCTGTGCAATAAAGACATCCCAAGTTCCTCTCGACGACCCACCTGTTTAAGCTACAATAGACACACCGGACCCCTGCATAAGGTCTACCTACTGGAGTTTCTCAGACCAACTCCACCTACAAATTCATTCTCTTACCCCTGAGTCCACTAGAGGGCGCTCCTTCCTTGGTCTGGGACCTTCTAACACTCCCAGATGTAGAGGCAGTCTAGAGGCAGTTGTACCAGTAAGGTTAAGGTGTGTTTCTGGAAGAGCACTGAAAGGGAAGGTGTGAGGAAAGGGAGTCACATGATGACACGTAACTTCAGTGCCTCTGGGTTTCCAGACACACTGGCTACTGTTCCTAACTCCAGGTGACAAAGAGCCACAAACCACCTCCACGTTTTTTATTCCAAAGTACGAAAAACTGACTCTGAAGCTGTAGCATGATTCACCAAGGCCAACAGTCACTATAAGTGCTGAAATACACCTGTGTACACTACAGAAAGATGTCATACCAGTCAATGCAGGGTTGGGGCATGGGTTTTGTGCCTCCGAGTTCAAGTTCAAAAAGTTCTTCTGGTCCTTGCACATCTCTCTCCAGTGTGCTCGTGTGATCCTCAAGTGCCCAGGGCACAGGAGAGTCAGGTCTGTGCAGCCTAAAAATCCATCTGACGGGCTGCCAGGAGCCCTGTGCTCGAAACCTAAACCGTGCTTCCCTGAAGTTAAAGCCAGGTCTGCACTCTAGGTGGACCCTCTGCCCACACCCCCAGCCCACTGCTTTCAGGGCTCCATCCTTTCTAGAAGTAGGAATCCTCCTTATTTAGCAACTAGGGCCCATTCGGCCCAAAGGTATAGGAGCGATGGAGATTCCGTTTGACAAAAAATGTGAAATTAGTACCCAGGAAATTCATGTTAGAAATCCGTGACAATGAAGAGAATTTAGCAAACGGGAAGCTATGCCACAGATGTGCCTTAAGTAAAAATCCATCACTGCTACCAAAACAGGTGGGAGGCGAGTAAAAACAGTGGAATGGAACACATACAGAAAAGAAAGAAGAGAAGACCGTGCAAGCACTAAGAAAACAGATGGGAAGTAGGTGGGCAAGTCAGTCAGAGGAAGGGTTAACACTTCTGGTTAACACCAGACAGGTTTCTGGTGCTCCTGGGGAATTTTGAGTGTTTATATCTTCCCATGAGGCCACTAAGCCTAGGTATATCAGGGCCTGACAAGATGAGAAATATGCCAACTGGGTCTCTCTTGGTACTTTCAGTGATTAATTACATTAGAAGACTGTAAAACAAATTGGCTTTATAATAAACCCCTCAATACACAAGGTGCTGGTATAGCCTTAATCCAGGGCTGGTCAGAGAAGTAAAAAGGTTGTGGTCCCCAAAACATGTCCAGGATGGCATCTGTCCACACTGGCTGAGCAGATTGGGGGCTAGGCTGGCAGGTACTACTACATCTCAAGGAAGAAAATTGAGCCAAAAAAGTAGAGCTGTCTCTAATTGGAGATGAGACAGTAATTGACAAATCACTAACCCTTACAGCTATTTTCTAAGGGGCAAAGGCACACTGAAGCTTGGGCACAGGTACCAAATTACAATTTTGAACCTTAAAAGCCAATCATTCTACTAACCACTGGGGAAAAAAAAATCAGTGACTAGAATCCTCAGTCTCAGGACTGAATACTCCCCGAGAATAACACTGGCCTCACTTCAGAAAGGAAAAACACCCAAAAACTGTAGTGTGGAAAATCTCACTTGTTATCATTAACAGCTTCAATGCCACTGGTTCCCCTAGGTAGCTGCTTCCAGGGAGAGAGAACGAGTAGTATCAGCCACGTACATGTCGTTTTTGGTGGGTCAGGAGGTGACTAGAGGGATGGAAGTGATGATCTACTATACTGGGTGCACAAGGCCTCTTTCCTCTCCCGTTTGCCTTTGCTCCAGTCTTGACATCGGGAACCAGAAAGGTCAACGATGCCAAGGTATGAGCACTGTGGACTGTCCTACCTGCAAGGCCCACCCTGGAAGCCTTCCCAGGGTACACAGCAGTTGCTATAAGGACAAAGCCATTCCTTCCTCCCCCAGTAAGAGGGAGAGGGTGACGGAGGGAGAACAGTTTTCAGTTCCTAAGTACCACATATCTTGGTGGCACTAGCTCCCCTCCAAGATGTCACTGAAATCAGAGCAGGTTTGAAACTAGATCACAATTACTCCCGAGTGGTCTTCACAGTTAAGATGGGCAGACATTTGATGGCCTCTGGGCCCTCCTCTCTCTCATGCACACACACACACACACTCTCGCGCAGTAGGAACTCATTCAGCTGCTGGGCTTGGCTGGCTCATGTCCTCATGTCAGGTACTGCACCACCAGGAACATGATCACACAGGTAAGCAGCATTCCACCGATCATGAAGTACTTGTCCTGGAAAGCCCGTTTCTCGATGAGCCGCATCACCGTGTTGGACAAACCCAGCATGTTGGCAATGTCAAGGATCTTCTTCTGAGTCCCCTGCGCAGAGAAGGGAAAAAAAAAAAAAAAAAGATCAAGTTACTTTCTGGGTGTGTGTGTATGTGACAATGTCATCATAAGATGGCACTTTATCTGACATTCTTTTTTTGTTTTTTTAAGAATCATTTAATTTTATTTATGCAATCATTTATCTTAATTTGACCAGACAGACACACACAGAGAAAGTGAGAAAGCAAGCCATCAGGTCTGGAACTCAGACTGTGGTCAGCCAGGTGGGAGTGTCCAGCATCTTAACCACAGTGCTACTTGCTGGCCCTACCTGACACTCTCTTGATAAAGCTGAGAGCATACAGAAAGCAATACCAACCAGAAATAGAGTCACTCTTGTATGGCTTATGTTTTACTAAGGTACCAGAGTGATGCAAAGAAGAAAGAAAAGTCATTTCCACAAATGGTGTTGGAAAAATTGATCATATAATAAAATAACACGCATGTTTATCATATGTAGATATTTCTATTTCATATATATCATCTGAGAGGATTTCAAAAAGTTCATGGTAATGGAATTAGAGTTGTTGTTTTTTTTTTTTTCCAAAAACGTCTTGAAATCCATGCATAGATGTTTCTTTTGAAAACCCTGTATATAGTATGTATATGAAAAATGAACCTTGGTCCACATTATATGTAAAAATTAATTTGAGATGGATCATAGAATTAAACATAAGAGTTAAAAGCACAATAAAGTGTCAGGGAAAGAAAACAGAGTATTTAAAAACTGGAAGCGATCCTGTCCATCAACGAGGGGATGGATAAACAAATTATGGTTTCTCTGCACAATGGAACAGAGGTTAGCAATAAGAAGGACCTAATCACCAACGTGTAACCAAACATGTAACAGCATGAAGGACCCTTGAGAGAAAGAAGTGACACAAAATACGAGTATAAACACATTTACATGAAGTTTGGTAACTGGCAAAACTAACTGATAGTGCAATCAATCAGAACTGTGGTTGCTGGGGAGAGGGGCAGACTGACAGGAGCAGGTTTGGGGAATCCTCAGGATGATGAAAACAGCCTCTATCTTGAGAGGAGTGTGAGCAACAAAGCAGTATCTAAGTTGTCAAACTCAACGAAACTGTATAAATAAGATCTGTACATCTCACTGTATATGAATTATACCTCTCCGAGGATTCTACTGAGTACAATGTGTCAATGTCCAAATGTACATGAGGGTTTGAAGTGGGAAAACATGGAAAGACAAAAAACATGAGGGACAGACGCCAGTATGAAGACCTAAAACCTACAGAAATGTCACCATCCACCACTGAAAGAAAAGGGTATTTTATTCCTAAACAATAGACCTCCCTCACTGCTTTCTTTTAAAAATTATTTTACTTAACTTTATTTATTTATTTTTAATTTGACCACAGAGGGACAGAGCAAGAGAGAGAGAAACAGAAAGGGAAAGTGAGAAAGCAAGCTGCCAGGTCCGGGACTCGAACTGCAATTGACAATGTGGGAGTCCGGTGTCCCCCATGCTACCTGCCGGCCGCCCTCACTGATTTCTAATTGTCGTTTTAAAGCACATTCAATTTATTATGAAGTAATGTAAATGAATGCCGGGGAATTATTTATGCACACATCTCCTACGGCACTTGCCTGGAAGGCATCTGACCTAATGTTCCACACTCATCTTTGCAAATACACAAATGAATGAGCAACTGAGAGAAGAGGAAAGGGAATAATGCAAGGCACCAAGAACCCTGACTCAGTTCCAATATTCTGTCTAGGCAACAATGAACAAGTCAGTAAGCCTCATCAAAAGAGGTCTCGAGCTGAGCTTGACTGACATCAGAGGAGACCAGAGAAATGTGTTTTTGTTTTTCTATGAGAGTGACAATAAAAATTAGATTCTAGCTAAAGGTTCCGCTTAGCTTTGAAAGTGTAGATTACTTTCTCATCATATGAGATTCAAAGATCAAGCTTTAAAAATAATCTAGAAATAACCATAATTTTTTTTAAGAGAGATTTTTGCTAGAGGGCAAGTACACTTGCTGGAGAGATAGAGACAGACAGACAGAAAGGGAAACATCACTCCCCAGGGGAGATGGCCACACCACAATCCCTTCTCCATTCTCCTCTCGGGATCTTGGGCATGCACACATCACTGTATATGAATTATACCTCTCCGAGGATTCTACTGAGTACAATGTGTCAATGTCCAAATGTACATGAGGGTTTGAAGTGGGAAAACATGGAAAGACAAAAAACATGAGGGACAGACGCCAGTATGAAGACCTAAAACCTACAGAAATGTCACCATCCACCACTGAAAGAAAAGGGTATTTTATTCCTAAACAATAGACCTCCCTCACTGCTTTCTTTTAAAAATTATTTTACTTAACTTTATTTATTTATTTTTAATTTGACCACAGAGGGACAGAGCAAGAGAGAGAGAAACAGAAAGGGAAAGTGAGAAAGCAAGCTGCCAGGTCCGGGACTCGAACTGCAATTGACAATGTGGGAGTCCGGTGTCCCCCATGCTACCTGCCGGCCGCCCTCACTGATTTCTAATTGTCGTTTTAAAGCACATTCAATTTATTATGAAGTAATGTAAATGAATGCCGGGGAATTATTTATGCACACATCTCCTACGGCACTTGCCTGGAAGGCATCTGACCTAATGTTCCACACTCATCTTTGCAAATACACAAATGAATGAGCAACTGAGAGAAGAGGAAAGGGAATAATGCAAGGCACCAAGAACCCTGACTCAGTTCCAATATTCTGTCTAGGCAACAATGAACAAGTCAGTAAGCCTCATCAAAAGAGGTCTCGAGCTGAGCTTGACTGACATCAGAGGAGACCAGAGAAATGTGTTTTTGTTTTTCTATGAGAGTGACAATAAAAATTAGATTCTAGCTAAAGGTTCCGCTTAGCTTTGAAAGTGTAGATTACTTTCTCATCATATGAGATTCAAAGATCAAGCTTTAAAAATAATCTAGAAATAACCATAATTTTTTTTAAGAGAGATTTTTGCTAGAGGGCAAGTACACTTGCTGGAGAGATAGAGACAGACAGACAGAAAGGGAAACATCACTCCCCAGGGGAGATGGCCACACCACAATCCCTTCTCCATTCTCCTCTCGGGATCTTGGGCATGCACACACATGTGCCCAGTATGAGTTTTAAGCTGCCAGATCTGGGACTTAAACTGCGGTCAACTGCATGGGAATCCAGTGAGGTAAGCAATACCATCTGCTGGTCCTGAGCCATAAATTTTTAAAAAAAATGTATTTATCGTTAACCACGAACTGCCCAAGGCAGCGAGCTTCAGTCCAGCTCCTCGTGCTCTCTCCCATGTTCCTTTCAAATGGTTTAGGTAGAAGTTTCCCTGACAGAGGTGGGCTAGGAGGCAGCTGGAGAGAATCAAGAAACAAGACAGGCACAAAAAGTGTGCAGAGGAAAACAAACTAAACAAGAAACCTCAAGTCTCAACCCGCAATCACTCAAAAGGCTTCCCAGCACTTCACCTCTGAAGTCAACGAAGGTGCCAGAAGGTGCTAGACTCCTAAGTGATTCCAGACTTTGGCAGGAAGCTAACACTTGCTTTAACACTAAGGTCTAACCCTCTGGCTCTTCATGAGTGTGACATGGGAGTCTTGTCCTAAAAGGGCTCTTCTGATATATGGACAGGAGCCCAGCAGTTCTCTACAGAAGAGGCAGACTACTCAACAGGTGTTGGTTTTGATTATGGCAGGTGGCTGCTTGGAAAGAGGGGTACCCAGCACACTGCTGCAGACCATCCTTCCAGGCTATGTGAAATGCTACAAATGTCAGCAGGAGGTGAGTTTCACTTGCAGCTTGCCTGACTCCTGGGTAAAGATGGCAGGGGCTGTTCAGAAACGTACTGAAGTCCTGTGGAGCTGACACGCTCATCGTGGTCCAAGAAAAACGAAGATAAAGCTTCCGAGTGACTGTTTCTCACAGCTCAGTGGCTGGGAGTGCTTGGTTCACAGGGCACCACACCCCGATAACAGACAGAGCCCACACCCCATTCTCCATCAGGGTTGATACAGGAAAAGGGCTGAGGCTGAAACATCGTAACTGACATCAGAGTCTGTGCAATGTTTTCTGTAAAGCACTCCCAGGGGGCTGAAGTCTCAGCAGTGCCACGGGGGAGGGTTCCTAGAATACCTGTGACTAAAGGGTGAAGAGTCACTGGGGGTCACCATCAGATGTGCTCAAAGCTACCTACTACAGCTGACCAGCCCTAAGACCTTACCCATAAGGATTGAAAAGGCCTCAGATATATGGTAATCCACAGCAGGTGCCCCAAAGGAAAATCATCTTAGAGTAAGGAACCAAAATACAGCCACATCTTAGTTCTTATTCCAGAAGGTTCTATACAAATTTCTCAGCTGAAGCAGTTACTTTCATGGTAAGTTCAGTAAGCAGGAAAAGACCAACAGAGGCCACTTTATGGTTCATTTCAAGCACTGTCAAAGGAAATGTGGTAACTTGGGGGCTCACAACAATTCAACTCCCAACAGGAAGATGACAAACTTAAGGGTCACAATATTTGCAGACACAAAAGCAAATGTAAACACAGGTACCAAACTGCTGGATGAGGCCGAAACAAGAGGCCTTCTCCCTGTACCCCAGAAAGGACCCCACCTTCAAGGTCAGTCTCTGGGCCCTCAGTCCCTCCAGAATACTGTGCCCGCCTCCAATGAGGTCATCCATGCCGTTGTGAATTTTCTGGAGGGAGGAGTTAAACTGCAGTGATTCATCCATTGGTATGGTGGTGTCAGAGTCCTGTGAAAGAAATGCAAGTGCCTGATTAACTTTGCTTGCTAGTCAGTTCCTGGGATCCCCCCGCATCTGACTGCTCTGCCTCTTGGCCAAGGCCAAGCCAGAAGAACAGCCAGTGGGAACGGTGCAGAAGTTAGAGGAAGCTAACAGAGAATAAAATGCAAAGCAAAGAGCTAAATTCACACAGAAGAGGAACTTCTTTCAGATCTGTCACTTCCAAATGAGTTCTGCTACACAAGCACTGTTAACCTGTCTCTGGACCATTATCCCCATTTAGGAAAAACTATACCTTCAAAAGTATCTTGGGTTTCTCCAACAAGTGTTCTCAGACTACTCACTAACCTCCTAGTTCATTTAAGGGTGCCTTTACTTGGCTCCCCCCTTAATGCAGTATGAAATGTGTGTTTCTATTCTTTGGCTATTTTATCTAGAGCTTACCTGTCCAACAGATACAGATGAAGGATACAGTAGACTGTGCTTTCTACTGAGGCTTAATGGCATTCCAGATGGCACTATTCTGAGAAGTAAATTAAGTTTGCTAAAGAAATGAAGGGAGAGGGCCTGCCAGGTGGCACACTGGTTAAGGTGGCTGGATCCCATATGGCTGACTGTGTGATTCAAGTCTTGGTCTTGGTGGCTTGAAAAATATACCAGGCATGTGTGCATGCCTGCCCAAAATCTCAAGAGGAGAAGGATTGTGGCATGGTCAACACTCCTGGGGATAGGTACATTTCCACCTTCTCTCTTTTTCTCCCTCTGCCTCTCCCCAGTGAGCAAAATGATATATAGCAACCATAAAAAAAAAAAAAAAAAAAAAAAAAAAGGGAAGGGAAGGAAGGAAGGGATAAACTACTCCTGATCAAGTACTTTTCTTCTGTAAAGGCTCATTAACCTAAGCTCACTTAATTCTCATGCTACAAAACAATTCATCTAATTATCCCCATTTTACAGATGAAGAACCTGAAGCTCAGAGAGACAGAGTACCTTACCATATAAAGTTGGTAAGACGTCCAGTGGGGGCAAGAATTCTAGTACTGAGCACCAGGCCTGCCCTCTTAATCATACTGCCAGGAAAAACACAAAGACAATTTTGATGGTTCTAATTTTGAAAGTGGGCTAAGACAGGAACAAGTCATTACCAGCTATGATGGTGTTTTTTCTGAATTGTGCTGGTCACAAACTCTCCTTTCAAAAAGTTGTTTTTACCAACTACATCCCAGTTTCAACAGTTATAAGGAGATTAAGTCTTCACTGCTCAGATTTGGAATCACTTCTCAGTAATCTCTACTAGCAAAGGGGCTTGAATTTTCCCCAGGTACTGCCTCGCAGTGTTCATACCACTATTGCTCAGTGGGTCAAGACTCCAATGTTTGGGGGACCAGCAGATGGCGTGGAGGTTAAGGCGCTGGACACTCCCACATGGCTGATCAGGGTTCAAGTCCTGAATCTGGTGGCTTGCTTTCTCACTTCATCTCTCTCTCACTCTCACCCTCTGTCTCTTTCTGATCAAATTAAAAAATAAATGAATACATAAAATAAAATAATTATTAAAAAAAAGACTCCAATGTTTGAGGGAACCAATTCGAGACCTCGCTTCATGTATTCATTTGACAAGCATTTACTGAATGATTCCGATATATACATCTTTCTTGCCCTCACATCAAAAAAGGTAGGGCTGACAAGTATCTTTCAAGAAAATATATTACTGTTTATTAATGGCCCACTCTATGTAGAGCACTGCACCAGGCTGTAGAAACAAAATACCCCTGACCTAAAAAGGGCCTGAATTGGGCCAGTATGTGGTGGTGTGGTTAAGAGAGCTAGACTCTCACATGGCTGAGTGGTTCAAGTCCCAGACTTGGCGGCTTGCTTCCTCACTTTTTAAATCTCTTTCTCTCTATCCCACTCTGTCCCTCTCTGGTCAAATTAAAAGTAAATAAATAAAGTTAAATAAAATAATTATTTTAAAAAGGGCCTGAATGCATACTAAAACTATTTTTAAAAAATAAAAACCTGTCAAAAGCACAGGCACCATCTTTTAATGTGTCATAGTTCATTACATTTCTGAATTGTTAGTCATTCTGACTTGATGGATTAGTCTGAAGAAACAGAAACTATGTAGGCACATTCCGAAACACTCAAGGAAATATGTTGCAAAGCACAGAAGCAGCAACTGGGAGTTAAACATCTGCAAAGTGGGAAATTATTTTAAATTCTGATGATAGGCTTAAAAACCTGATACCTCTTGGTGAAAAATTAGATACACAAAAACAAAACCATCTAGTTTGGTAGAATACGTCATGCAGGACAGAAAAAGATCAGTTTGTTCGACCAGAGATCTTCAAAGAGTTCATGGAAAATATGTATTATGAAAAAACTATGCAAGATTTTCAAAACTCCTTTGTGCCAAAATAAACATGTACTTTATTTCCACTTTTCTATGAACTTTTTGAAGTCCTCGTGTATAGCCATGTGTACGAAATGCTCCTATTGAGACTAAAGGGTAGGGACGATGAGTTCTAAGAAATCAAACATGCAAACCAACAGGCTTTTTCCAAACAGACTTAAGCAGTCCATCTAACGCTAAACATCTGTTAACAAATTCCTCCAAATTGCTGCTCAGAACAGGGGCAAAAACATCTAATGCATCCGACACTGGAACCACACACATACACGGCACAATGGCAACTGCCTGAAGGCAGCTTTGAAATGCTGCCGCCTTCTCTACAAATGGTCTCAGTCTAATCGCTTGTCTCTATCTACCCAGAAAAACGTTTCTATCATGTGAACTTCCACCTCTCTGCATCAGACCAGTCAAACCAGGTAATTTTCGCCTCTGCCCTTCCTTCAATTTAACTACTTCCTCTTCAGGTTTTTGTGTTAGATAGATTCTCTCGTAGCCTCTCTGGCTATGTACAAAGTCCACTGCCATTTCTAGTAGGTATTCTGCTCATTAGTCTGCTTTGGACACCCCCTAAAAATTGAAACTGAGAGACCTGAGCTCTAGCCCCAACAATTGTCAAGGTCCAGCCAGCCCCCACCAGGCGCCCTGCTTACATTAGCGGTGAAGGTGCGAGACATTAGCTCTTCTCGCTGTCTTTCCTGTTCCTCATTTGCGTAGCGCCGATGCTGGAAGATTCTGAGAGCAGTCTGCAGGTGCTGAACATCATACTTCAACTGGTCAACACGACTGGAATTGATGGAGAGGGAGATTAAATTCCAGGAACCTGGGGCAGCATAATTTGAGGTAGCCAGACTTTGTGCTCATGACAGAAGACATTTCCTACTTCTCCCTACACCACTTCATGCTATCCCCCAAGAAATCTGATTTCGATCAGTGTTGCTGAAACTGAGGAGCAGTCTGTGGTTAAAGTGAGGCTGCCATACACACGATCCCAGCAGCTTTGCTGCCTATTTGCTGTCTCTGATTCTGGAAGCATGACAGGAAGCAGGTGACAGGAAACAGGTCCCCTGACCTCTTCCTGACCTTCTATGGATTATATCACTCTCCTGGAAGATGCTCGAGGGCAGCTTTGAGGTAAAGCATCAGGGAAGTTACATACACCTTTTGGGAGCAGGGGCTCGAGGTGGAAGTGGTAAAGGTGGTTTCATTTTAATTTCATGGTGGAGAATCAGCCACTAGATCAGTATTTCATTCTAAATAGACTGATCAAAGTGACTAAGAGTGAGGTTTCATTTCAATCCAAGAACACAGCAGAAACTAAAGAGCAGAGCAAAACTTCCTGGCAGCATTAGGCTTCAAGTACCCTGGATCTGATCAGAAAAGACAGAATTGAGGCAACATTTCTATATGACAACAAAGAGGTAAGGGATCACAAGGCTGCTGAGCCACAAACCTCACAACTTTTTATTTTGAAGGAGGATTACTCAGGATTGTGTCATTTTGGAGAACACTACCTATGCAGTCTTAAGTTTTTTTGACACATAAACATATTTTCAGAATAATTGTTAGCCTTCCCTAGGAGAAAGGCCTGCCTTGATGGTTGGGTTGGGGAGGAGCAGAGCCATGTCAGAGGTCAGCACTCACAGTTTGGCATTCTGCCTTTTGTTAGGGGGCTCCTTGCTGGACAAAATCTCCAGACGTTCTAGACGGCTGAATATCTGGTCTATGCTTGCTTGGATTTCATTTTCTAATACTGCACAAAAGAGAAAAAAGAATAACTGCTGTAAAGGAGATAGTGAACTCAAATTAGAATAGTAAATCGAACATTTCCCCTTATATCCAATAAAAAAATCAAAAAAAAGAAAAAACTATATACACTAATGTGCAATGAAACTTCAAGGTATCTTAGAAATACTGATTCAAGGGGCCAGAAGGTGGCATAGTGGATGAAGGTGCTAAAATCCCACAGTCAACTGTGGTTCAAGTACTTGACCTGGCAGCTTGAAACTCACGCCAGGTACATGTGCGTGCATGCCCAAAATCCTGGGAGGAGAATGGAGAAGGGACTGCAGGGTGGCCATTCCCCTGGGGGGTGATTTCTCAGTTTTTGTCTCTCTGGTGAGCACACACACTCTATAGCAAAAACAAACACACACACACACACACACAGACATATATTCAAACATATACATACACACTCTGTTCATGCTATATATTAATTTTTTAAAAGCTGAAGGTAGAAATTTGCCACCTTTTGGGACCAGCAGTTGGCAAAATGACTATGTTGCTGGACTCCCACGTAGTCGACTAGCAGTTCAAGTCCCAGACTTGGTGGCTTAAACTCATGCCGGGTGCATGTGCGTGCATGCCCAAGATCCCAAGAAGAGAATGGGGCAGAAGGGACTCCATCATGGCCAACACCCCTGGGGGGTGATTTCTCACTTTCTGTCTCTCTGTCTCTGTTTTTCTGGCGAGTGCATGTGCCCTATACCAAAAACCTCTCAAAAAAAAGAAAAAGAAAAAGAAAAAAAATTGAGCCACCTTTTAAATAAAATGAACATTTAATGGTTGTCCAAATAAATATTTTAAGCTAAATTTTCTGATTACGGGACTGTTTTCCTTTGAGATTGTTTACAGATAGATTATAAATACCTAGTAAAAAGCCTGTCAGTAAAACCTGTAAACTGAGTTACTTATAGTAATGAGATTTAAAAAAAAAAAGCATAAAGGAAGGAGAAGGTTGGTATGTGAAACATAGGCAGAAGAATGCCCTTCAGACTTTCTGTAAGACTAGATGGGCTGAGCAATGTTGGAGTCCCTAAAACAGAGGAAGTAGCAATAGGAAAGGCCCAGGAAAGACTCCACAGAAGTAAAATGATATGATAAATACGGTCATTTTTCTTATCCCTTTTGATGAGATGGTCCAAATGACCTGTTTTCCATTTCTAATCATGTACCAATGAGGTTGCTGGGAAGGCAAATGAGTGCAATGGACAGAACTGCACACAAAGAAGCGTCTAGACTGCTCCTTGCCCCATGAAGAAGCAACAACGATGACACTGACCCTTTCACGAGCGCTTGGCAACCACAGCAAACACATATTAATAGTTTAGCTGAGAACAAAGCAGGGCACAGAACCAAGAAAAAAATGCTTTCTTGCTTTTTTTTTCCCCCAAGTTTCTTGCTATAGGGCATGTGCACCTGCTAGAGAGAGAGGGGGGGGGGATATGAGAAATCACTTCTCCCAGGGATTGCGGCGTGGCCTTCCTCCCTTGGGGGGTGATTTCTTGCTTTCCGTCTCTCTGTCTTTCTGGCGAGTGCACGTGCCCTATGGTAAAAACCTCTAAAAAAAAAAAAAAAGGTCAGAAATCACTTCTCCCAGGGGGATGGCCATGCCACAATCCTTTCTCACCCAGTCTCCTCTCAGGATTTTGGGCATGCATGCATTTGTGCCCAGAGTAATTTTCAAGCCTGGTCCAGGACTCGAACTGCTGAGTTGGCCATGTGGGATCCAGCTGGCCCAAGAAAACATGCTTTTGAAAGAGGCAGAGAAACAGGAAGGTGAAGCCCTGGGGGCAGAGTAGCAGGACAAAGTTCTGTGATGCTGCAAGTCTGAAGATCTAGTGTGAACCCCAGGTCGACCTGGACATGCCAGGCAAACATGCATGCCTGCGGTCCTGGCTAGCTGAAAGGCTGATGGGGGAGGAGTGTGGTCTAAGAGGCTACTCAGGGTGCTTGTCTTTCTTCTCTCTCTCTCTAAAAAAACAAACAAACAAAAAAACACAAACTTTAAGAGAGCGAAAAACAGGAGAAACGGGTATGGTGTGAGCAGAGCAATGAGATAAGGCAGCTTTTACAGGTAGTGTCTGTATGACTGATTCAGAAAAAGGACTTTTTCTTAGATTAGAAAAAAAAAAAAATCAAAACCAGTATGCCACTCAAAAGAAACCATGGTGTGGGAACTAAACTAATTAATATTGCTATTCATTTCTGAATAATCCTCCTAAAAAGCCACAGTTCTCAGCTCAGAAGAAATGGCCAATTGCAGTTAAACATCTCTGAATTTTTATGAAGTACATTCCTCTAAGGACTAGGTAATTAGATTAAGACAGATGTGGGGGGAGAACCTCTATTCCCATAGGGCCATGTCAGGTTGAGTGGAGGGGTAATGGGGGATAAGACATGTGGGATTCCAAAGGGCACAATCAGGGAAATCAGTGACTTTGCCCATAGGGTTTTTCTGTGCACCCTAACAAGGAAATTCATTCCACACTGAAACATTAAGCACCTGAGGCCGAAAGCAATCAGGAAACCCAACCCATTAGCACCGAGTCAGCATAGAAAGGACTCTGGTCTCCATAATTAATTACTCACAGTGCAGAGACTGCTTGTCTGCAGTCTCCAGGCGTCCCATGTGAGACTGGATCTCGTGGACCTGCCTATCAAAGGAAGAGAGAGGGAACCAGCAGTTAGCGTAATGGCTATGTCGCTGGACTCCCACGTAGTCGACCGTGGTTCGCGTCCCGGACCCGGTGGCTTAAAACTCACGCCGGGCGCGTGTGCATGCGTGCCCAAGATCCCGAGAGGAGAATGGAGGAGAAAGGATTGCAGCGTGACCATCCCCCCTGGGGGGTGATTTCTCGCTTTCTGTCTCTGTCTCTCTCTGTCTGGCGAGCGCATGCACCCTATAGTGAAAACCTCTCCAAAAATAAAAAAGGAAGAGAGAGGATATGAGTAAGATAGGAGTAGTCAACAGCACTTCAGCCAAGAAAGACAATTTCTCCTAAGCCAAAATGTAACTGATTTAAATAGACCACATCACTGAACTGTAAAATTTGTATGTGGTACTTTAGGTCACACTTTTTGGCATGCTTTCCTTATCTTCACACTAATATTAATAACAACACTAACAGGCAGCATTTACCGAGGGCTTACCATGTCTTAGACATTCTGCTAAGTCAATAACCCTGCGAGGAAAGTACTATTATCATTCTCATTTTATAAATAAGATTGAAGCCCAGAAAGGTTATGTAGCTTGTTCAAGGTCACACAGCAAGTGATGAACCTCGACCTGGATCCAGCCAATCCCACTCTCTGTTTGATGACCCAATGTGCTGAGCACTGGTCTGTGCTTAGGAAGAGTCAAAGGGCAGGGGAGATATAATCCTTGTCCTTGAGAAACAATGTAATTAGGAATGACAGGCCAGATAGACATGAAAAAGCCCTGAGAAGATTTACGAGAAAGCCAACACACTGAAGTGTAAACAAACAGAAAGCTGAGTTGCTGTGCTGGGTGGTGCCACGCCAAGGCAGGCAGACAGAAGGGCTGGGGCTGAGACAGAGTTGGCTGGGGAAGTTCTGTGGACAGAGAAAGTCCTGTGCATCCGCTCTGAAGGAAGAAAGACATGATTTGGTGAAGGAAGATGCGAAGAAAACAATATGCAAAAAGGCGTGCAAGGCATGTCATGTGGGGTACAAGCAGGCTGGACTGTTAGAAAGACAGCCAGGTTGGAGGGGAGTAGGGGATAAGGCGATTAGTGGAGGAAACCACTCAGAGGAAGGCCTGAAAGACAGGGGTCTCCTGCTTGGTAAACATCTATCCCCAGCAATATGGGGGTACTGCCTCTCATTTGGAAATGCAACATGACATGGGACCCTTGGCACGGTCTCAGATGTTAGGGCTCAGAGCCCTCTCTGGAGGGGTTGGCCAAGGTCACCCTCAGATCCCTTCCTAGCAGACCTCCAAGATCATTCCTTGGAATACTGTTTATACTAGTTCCCAACAACCACCTCGAAGTGTCTCTGCACTGCAGTCCACATGAAACGGCTCTGCTGAGCTCTCCTATCATGCCCAAGCCTGGAGGGAAAGGTCAACAATCATCCACCATGAGCACTACAAACTGCGACCTGAAGCTTACCAGTGCTCGCCAGGAGCCCAAATGTAGCTTCGGCTAGTCCCCAGTCTTTTCCAGGGCTTTCTGGTGGCCTCAAAACATGACCCGGGGCATCAGAAGAAGCTAGAGCAGCAGTCTAACGGTTTCCAGAGTGCTCCTAGGCAAGACCATGGCTCTGAGAAGCAACCAGAAATTGCTACTAGAGAGGCCAGACTGCTGCTTCGGTAAGACCAGTACCTTTTGGAATGGGGAAGCACGGAAGCTGATGTAGGAATGTAGCTTCAGGTAACTGCCATATGCATTGGGGTAGCAGCTATAAAAGATAGGTGGCAAAGCTGAAGGAAAGGAGAATTGGGACTTATAAAAGTGTGGATACAGGTGGTGAGGTAAATTTTCCGTGGTGACTTAACAGCAAATCTGAAGGTTGGTAACATCATCAACAGGAATAGCAACATCATAAAAAAGAGGAGAGGGGCAAAAAATAGTCACGACTACCCTTAAGAAGTATGAGAAGAGACAGCTTCTTCCTCCTGCCATTAAGAGTTATCACAAAGCTGGGACAAGCAGTTAGCGTAATGGCTATGTCACTGGACTCCCACGTAGTCAACCGCGGTTCGCATCCCGGACCCGGTGGCTTAAAATTCATGCCGGGCGTGTGTGCATGCATGCCCAAGATCCCGAGAGGAGAATGGAGGAGAATGGAGGAGAAGGGATTGCGGCGTGGCAAACCCCCCGGGGGGTGACTTCTTGCTTTCTGTCTCTCTCTGTCTGTCTGGCGAGTGCACGCGCCCTATAGCAAAAACCTCTCAAAAAAAAAAAAAAAGACTTATCACAAAGCCATAATAATTATTAGAAAGCCATAATAAAAACAATATGGTAGCTTCGAAGAGACAGGAACACGGACAGAAGGACAAGCATAGACTAACCTTAACTGTGACCCTGATCAATGGTAAAGAAAAGAGCTCAGAAGCAGTCACAGATACTTGGAGACTTGGTGACACAGGCCAGTTGGAAAAGAATGAACTACAATAAATGCTGACAGCTCAGTTTGTTATCCATACAGAAGATGGTTTGAAACCTAAAGGTAAAAAAAAGGCTTTCGAGTTTTCTTCAGACCTCAGGTTAAAGAAGGATTTCTTTTTTTTAAAACAGAATTATTTTATTTAACTTTATTTATTTATTTAAATTTGACCAGAGAGGGAGAGAGTGTGTATGAGAGAGAGGAAGAGAGAGAAAGAAAAAATGAGAAAGCAAGCAAGCCAGCAGCCAGGTCTGGGACTCTAACTGTGGTCAGCTATGTGGGAGTCCAGCACCCTTAACCACCACGCTACCCGCCGGCCCCCAGGATTTCTTAAATAAGACAAAATCCAAAAACTACTCCCCCATACTCACAAGCCATAAAAGAAGACTGATAAATCTGACTATATTAAAACAAAAAACTTCTTTATACCAAAGGCACCATTAAAAAAAAAAAAAAAAAGACTGGGGCTAGAAGATATCTCCAGCAGATTAACAAAGGAATAATGTCCAGAGTATATAAAGAACTGCTACATATCAAAAGAAAAAGCCAAACAAAGTAATTTTTTTAAAATGAGCATAGGGGAAATGACAGAAAAAGAAACCTAAATGGTCAATAAATAAAGGAAGGGACACTCCACTTTACTACTGAGGAAAATCCAAATTAAAAACAAGATTACATTGCTCCCATCTGATTGACAAGTATTTTAAAATTTGAGAACATGTTGATAAGGATGTGGGGAAACTAGAATTCTCACAGACAGCTTATAGGATCATAATCTGATAAAACACTTTAATTGCTTTCTGACAGTAACAAGTCTATCCTATGACCCAGTATTCCACTTTTAGAAATACGTCCTAGTGAGATACTGACATACATTAAGGAGATGTTTTAAAAAGAGATGTTCATCAAAGCATTTTTGTACAGGCCCATCATCTACCATCCATAATTCTAATATCCAAAATGCCCTAAAATCCAAGTTTTTCTTCTAAGTCTGTAATAAATGACTTAGGCATCAAAAACTGACCGGACATGAATCCTTTTATGGTCTTTGTTTATTCCACATGGTATGAAATTCTGTTGCATTTACTCATGTGTATTCTATTACCAAATGCTGTTGGGGGTGTTATATAACCTAGGAAGTGCGTACCATGTTTCTTTTTTTTTTTTTTTTTTGGAGAGATTTTTCGCTATAGGGCACGTGTACTTGCCAGACAGACAGAGACAGAGAGACAGAAAGCGAGAAATCACCCCCCAGGGGGGTGGTCACACTGCAATCCCTTCTCCTCCATTCTCCTCTCGGGATCTTGGGCACGCACCCACACGCGCCTGGCATGTTTTAAGCCACCGGGTCCAGGACGCTAACCGCGGTCGACTATGTGGGAGTCCAGCGACATAGCCATTACGCTAACTGCTGATTCCTACCATGTTTCTTTCCTAAAATCTAAATGTGATTCTGAAGCACATTTGTTCCCAAGGGTTTCTGACAACAGACTGGACCTATATGGCAGAAAAACTGGTAATAGCCCAAATGTTCTTCAGGAAGAAAATGAACAATTCAGCAGTTTAATTAAGCTATACAGCAGTTCAAATAAAAGAGCCAGATTTACTAGTATTGACATGGACAATAAAAGTATCTTCAAAACAAGATAATATTAAATGAAAAAAACCTCCAGGATCTGTTTTGATAAAACACACACAAAAAAGGGACCAGCAGGTGGTATGCTGGTTAAGGTGGTAGACTCCCACATGTTTGATGCCTCTTGAAAAATATACCAGGTCCAAGTGTGTGCATGCCCAAAAATTCCAAGAGGAGAATGAAGGAAAAGGGATTGCGATGTGGCCGTCCTCCTAGGGGGTGATTTCTCACTTTCCCTCTCTGTCTCTCTCCAGCAAGTGCACACGCCCTATGGCAAAAACCTAAAAAAACAAAAACAAAAACAAAAACACTAAACAGTAGGATATATTGCTTACAGACACAAATGTATGGAGAATAAAAAATCACAGACAGGAGGGTAGCTGTCTTTGGGGCTGAGGGAACAGAATGGTGGGGGTTCCTGTATTTTTTTTAAGGTTTTTGCCATAGTGTACATGATCTTGCCAGAGACAGACAGAGGGAAAGTGAGAAATCACCCCCTGGGGGATAGCCATGTTACAATCCCTTCTCCTCTATTCTCCTCCTGGGATTTCGGGCATGCATACACACACACCCAGCATGATTTTCAAGCCACCAGGTATGGGACTCGAACCATAGTCAGCCATGTGAAAGTTCAGTGCCTTAACCACTACAGTACCTGCTACCCTCTCCACCACTGTCTTTAAATCAGTAATCTGAAGTATGTTTATTAATTATGAATCTTCATGAGATGGGGCCAGCAGGAGGTGTGGTGGTTGAGGAGCTAGACTCCCACATGGCTGACTATGGTTCGAGTACTGTACCTGGTGGCTTGCTTTCTCATTTTCCCTTTCTCTTTCTGTCTCTCTCATGAGTACATATGCCCTACAGCATATTTAAAAATAATAAATA